TGAGGACGTGCTTTGGCAATGGACAAGCTTGGATTAGAGTCCCAACTGTATCTGTCATTTGGAAAGTTATTAAACCACTATAAATTTTCCAGTTGTGAAATGCAAAGTAGTTAAGGCTCAGAAATGAAAAGACTTAAAAAGGTGAAGTGGCCGGGCGTGGTGGCTCAGCCTGTAATCCCAGCACGTTGGGAGGCTGAGGCGGGAGGATCACGAGGTCAGGAGTTCAAAACCAGCCCAACCAAAATGGTGAAACCCTGTCTCTACTAAAAATACAAAAATTATCTGGGTGTGATGGCGCGTGCCTGTAATTCCAGCTACTCAGGAGGCTGAGGCAGGAGAATCGCTTGTACCCGGGAGGCAGAGGTTGCAGTGAGCCGAGATCACGCCACTGCACTCCAGCCTGGGTGACAGAGCGAGACTCCATCTCAAAAAACAAACAAACCAAAAAGGTGAAGTGACTTGTCCAAGCTCACGTTCCAGTAGAGGTGGAGTCAGGATTTTGAAAAGTAGACAAAAGAGCACTGGGCCAGGGGTCAGGGAATGAGGGCTATTCCTGCTGCCAACAAGGCTGTGTGACCTTGAGCAAATCAAATAATCTCCATGGTCTCTGTGCCTTCCTCTGTAAAAGAAGGACATCAGGCTACATTGATACTAAAGTCTTCCCCAGTGCTAACATTCTGACTCTCAATATCTGTTTTCTGTTTAGTCCCTTGTTTGAAAATCCTTGGAGGAAAAGAAATTAACCACACAGAACCTGAAAGTGACTCTGGAAGCCAAATTTAGAAAACAGATTTCAAAAGGAGAAAAAATAAGTTTACAAAATTTCTTTATTTAGAAAGCGAGACTGCCCTGCAAAGTGTTCGGCTTGATTTGTGAGACTCAGTGACCAGATAAAGGCCGTACAGATCTCCTTGATTAGCCAGTTCTCCTAGCTGCAGTAAGCCATGAACCTGGTTCAGTGGCCCTTTCTGGCCTGCTATCCTGGCTAAAGCTGGAAGAAGCCCATCCTGTGTGGGAGGGATCCGAGAAAAGAAGCCAAGCTTTTCATGTGGGTGTTCTATCTTGAATTCAGAATGTCTATACCATTCTGTCTACTTCTGTTTTTGTTCTTAGTGATTATTATATAGTGACACAACCCACTGCTACCATGAACCAGTTTTTTTCACAACCTTGTGCTAAGCCATGGTATAGTGAACAGGTCTGGCTTCCATTTCTTTATGTGGTTCTATTCAAAAGTGTGAGATTGAGTTTGTTATAAATCTTGGCAAAAAAAGATATCCATAGCTTTGTGATCTTGGGAAAGTCACTTAAATTCTCCGTGTGTCGATTTTCTTCATGTTTTTGTAAAATAATGCTTATCCCACGTGCTCTTCAGTGTTATGAATTTCGAATAGTGTATATGTGGAAGTAGTTTGAGGAAATTAAAGACCTCTTAGACGACAATGAAAGCGATGCTGGCCAGGCACGGTGGCCCACGCCTGTAATTCCAGCACTTTGGGAGGACGAGGCGGGTGGATCACTTGAGGTCAGGAATTCGAGATCAGCCTGGCCAATATGGTAGAACCCCGTTTCTTCTAAAAATACAAAAGTAGCTGGGAGTGGTGGCAGGACCCTGTAGTCCCAGCTACTTGGGAGGCTGAGGCAGAATTGCTTGAACCTGGGAAGCAGAGGTTGCAGTGAGCCAAGATTGCACCATTGCACTCCAGCATGGGCAACAAGACTAAAACTCCGTCTCAATCAATCAATAAATAAATAAATAAATAAATAAGAGAGAGAGAGAGGAAAATAATATATTTATTCTTCATGACATATGCTATTGAAAAATTGTATTGCTTTTTTTTTTTTTTTTTTTTTTTTTTTTTGGTAGTAAAGATGGGGTTTCACCATGTTGGCCAGGCTAGTCTTGAACTCCTGACCTCATCATTTCCCTGCCTCAGCCTCCCAAGCAGCTGGGATTACAGGTGAGCGCCACCACGCCCATGCCTGGCTAATTTTTTGTATTTGTAGTAAAGATGGGGTTTCACCATGTTGGCCAGGCTAGTCTTGAACTCCTGACCTCAAGTGATCTACCCCACTTAGCCTACCACAGTAGGCTAATACCACTTAGAAATTCCCAGCTTTTAGATTGGGAACCACCAGTGTAAGTAAAATATTAATAATTCTCAACTTTAAGTTTGGCCCTTACTGTGCACCAGACATTGTTCTAAGCACTTTACATATTATCTCACATAATCCACATCCTCCTCATCCTTCTAGTCTCAGCTTAAATGTTATCTCCTCAGACAAGCCTTCTGTTATCCAAGTAGACCTGTCCTCTCCCCTTTCCATTATTCTCTATCATTTCATCCTGTTTATTTCCTTCAGGATACTCAGCAATACAAGTAATTAGTTACCCATTTGTGTACTTGTTTACTGTTGTCTTCCCAGTCAGAGTATGAGCTTTGAGAGCACAGACATGTACTGTTGAACAGTTTGGTTTACCACAGTGTACCCAGTAACATATAGTGCCTCAGTGACTGGCACAGAGGAGCCATTTGATTGAATATTTATTGAAAGCACATAATAAGCAAAAAATGGCTTTATGAAGTAGACCCTATTATTTTCTCCTTCATACTGATAAGGAAACTAAGACCTAGAGAGTAAAATAGACTCATCCCAAAGTTGGTAAGTCACAGAGTTGCTTTAAAACCCAGCTCTTCTGGTCTCCAGAGCACAAATTCTTCACTACGACCCTCGTCTCAGGAACAGAAGACTGAGTTCAGTCCTGGCTGTGTGAGATCTTGAGTAAGTCCCCTATCCCCTCTGGGACTTTTTCTTTCATTGAAAAATGAAAGAGCGGATGTCGCTATCTTCCTTATAGTGATGTTTTGTGATTTATGAGGTCTGTGATCTATGAAAATGAAATGGGGGACACTGAAGGAGCCAACAAGGTTGGCTTGATGCCTTTGAAAGTGCCAATTTTCAGTTATTTTCTTCCTTCTCTCCTTCTTTCACTGGAGATTTGCTAATCCTTATTTTATGCCAGGCATTATGTTGGAGGTAATAGGAATCCAAAGGCGAATAGGATATATATATAGTCCCTTACATTAACATGCCTGGCCTGATGGGAGATGCAGACCCATTAAATGGCTGCTTGAAATACAGTATGGGCCATATCCCAACAGTAATACTATGCCATGAGTAAGGCTCATGGCAATACAGAGGAAGAAGGGATTAATTCCATCATCTATGTGTATGTTGGTGGGAGTAGAGGTGGATATGTAGGAAGGGAGATGCAGTATAATGCTGAGCTGGGCCTTGGGAAAAGAATAGTTATCCATGTGGACAAGGTGGAGGTGAGGCTTTCTGGACACAAGAGACATTGTGTGCAGAAGCACACCAAGAAACAGCATAAAGTGCTGAGGATTGCTAGGATGGGGGGTTGGCTCTTAGGATACGAAGTTGGCTAGACAAAGAGAGCCCATGAAGAGCCTTGCTGAGGAGTTTGGACTTGACTTCTGAGAGCGGTAGCATGGCCAAATTGTGCTTACATTTTATTTTTAGAAGGATCACTCTGGCATTGGTAGGACTGGAGATAGGTGATGAGGTGAAAGGAGTGGAGACCAGTTAATAGGCTTTGAAGTTGTCCGAGTGAGAGATGATGAGGACTTGGACTTCAGGTGTTTGCAGCAGAGTTGGAGTGGAAGTAGATAAATTGGAGATTATTTTAAAAGGGAGACCCAAAGGCCTTGGTGATTAATTGGATGAGGAAGAATAAAAGATGAGATGAAGGGACTCATTGTAATGGATTGATATAGTCTAAAAGAATAAAACAGTGGCATTAATAATTATAGGTGATTTGGAGTGAAGTGTAAGAAATAATGATGTTGGTTTTGGATGTATTGAGTTTAAGATGTCTCTTAGCTGGGAGGAAAGGTGTAGCTCTCTCTACTTCCTTTCCAGAATAGCAGTCCTAGCCTAAGTCAGTCATCCTTGGACCAGTTTCCTGTGGAGCCAAGTTCGGTATAAAATTCCCCAAGATCTCACTGGCATTCCTGAGCTCCACATCTTTCAAGGTTAAAAGCTGAGTGTTGAAAACTCCCTGGACCCTCACTGATAGGCAAATGGATTATGGAGCTGGGTGTGTGTGTGTGTGTGTGTGTGTGTGTGTGTGTGTGTGTATGTGTGTTTTAAATCAGATGCTGGCTCCAGTGCAGCAAACTCTTCTGCCTCTTGCAAGCATCAGCCTTGGAAAAACAAAACAAAACAAAACAAACCTTTTTTATGGAGCAGCCTCTGGCCCTGACAGGCTCTGGCTCTCTATTGGCTCCCAAGAAGCCCCCCCACCTCTCTTAGCAGATTTTTAAAAGATTAGGTTGTACAGTGCTCAGCCAGATCCCCACGTGGCTGCTGAAGAAAGGCCAGAGTGTTGGGGACTGGACCCTTTCTCAGCCACCACTTCGGTGTCCTCATTGCTGAGACAAGACACCTTGTAGCTCAACTCTTTCCATAATGACGGGGCTGGGATCCTCCCCCACCTCAAGTCGAATATCCAGCTCTCACCAGGCGGTGGCAGGACCGAGCACGTGGTATCATTTAGGGGCTGGGCTCCAGGGTCCTCCTAGGAAAGAGGACAGCCCAAGAGGCGAGAGGCTGGCCGGCCACCCTGGCCATGGCAACCTCTCTGGCTCCTACAGCTGCCGGCCAAAGGCAGGGGGCACGCCCTGCGTCCCATTCCCACGTTCATAGAATGGTGTCAGGAGCCCGTTATCTCTTCTCCGCCTTCTCCTCACGCACCACCCCTACTGTCATACCGATAAATCCCGAGAGCAAAGGGTGGCACGATTCCTCCCTCGCCCCTGCGGGCTGAAGGCGGGCACTAAAGCAGTGCAGTCCCAAGCTTCCCCTGCAGAAGCCGCGCTCCCCACTCAGTCCGGGGGCAGAGGGGGCGCGAGAGAGCAAGTGGGCGGGCGTCCCATCCTCCGCATCCTCCTCCAGGTCCTGGCGCACAGGGTGGGAGCGCTGCGCTGCGCCGCGCTGCGCATCGCGGCCCGCTTGCCGCCTGCCCCCTGCCCTAGCTGGGCCACCTCCCCGGGCTGCCGGTGGAGGGCTAAGAGGCGCTAACGTTACGCTGTTTCCGGTTTTCCAGCGGGCTCTGTTTCCCCTCCCAAGGCGGCGGCGGCTGAGCGGCGGAGCCCCCCAAATGGCCTGGCCAGATGCGGCAGGTTTGCTGCTCAGCGCTGCCGCCGCCGCCACTGGAGAAGGGTCGGTGCAGCAGCTACAGCGACAGCAGCAGCAGCAGCAGCAGCGAGAGGAGCAGCAGCAGCAGCAGCGAGAGCGGCGGCAGCAGCAGGAGCAGCAGCAACAACAGCAGCATCTCTCGTCCCGCTGCGCCCCCAGAGCCGCGGCCGCAGCAACAGCCGCAGCCCCGCAGCTCCGCAGCCCGGAGAGCCGCCGCCCGTTCGCGAGCCGCAGCCGCCGGCGGCATGAGGCGCGACCCGGCCCCCGGCTTCTCCATGCTGCTCTTCGGTGTGTCGCTCGCCTGCTACTCGCCCAGCCTCAAGTCGGTGCAGGACCAGGCGTACAAGGCACCCGTGGTGGTGGAGGGCAAGGTACAGGGGCTGGCCCCAGCCGGCGGCTCCAGCTCCAACAGCACCCGAGAGCCGCCCGCCTCGGGTCGGGTAGCGCTGGTAAAGGTGCTGGACAAGTGGCCGCTCCGGAGCGGGGGGCTGCAGCGCGAGCAGGTGATCAGCGTGGGCTCCTGTGCGCCGCTCGAAAGGAACCAGCGCTACATCTTTTTCCTGGAGCCCACGGAACAGCCCTTAGTCTTTAAGACGGCCTTTGCCCCCCTCGACACCAACGGCAAAAATCTCAAGAAAGAGGTGGGCAAGATCCTGTGCACTGACTGCGGTGAGTCGCCCCCTCCCTTTGCTGGAGAAAGGGGGGAGGGGCGAGGTGGTGGAGAATGGGGGTGGGGCGAGGAGGTGCTGCAGGTGCCCGGGCCTGGCAAAGTCCGGGCGCTGGGGGGTGGGGCCGCCCCTGGGCAGGGCGCCTGGCACGGGTGGGTGAGGGGGTTGGGGTTGAAGAGAAGGAGGATCAGGCTCAAAGTGTGCCAGGGGCGGGGGGCGGAGGGAGGCGCTGGCCTGTGCCAGCGGGGATCTGCGGCTGATGTATGGCATGTGGGGCTGGAAAGCTGCCATCATAGCCCAGTAGCGGAAGGAAAAACGGAGAGGTCCTGGCGGTGCTGGCCTGAGGCTCAGTGTCAGGAGTGACCCTCGGAGGCCTTGCCCGCTCTGCTCCCGCGGGCCTGCCGTGCCCAGGCTGGCAGGGTCTGCAGGAGCAGCTGGGCAGACTCCCAGGCTGTGAAGGCCTCCGCTTACAAGTTCTCCTAGGGAATGATCGCCCCCGCCCCCTCCTTCCTCTCCTGGGCTGGTTGCTCTGCTCATCCACACCGCTGGCGCAGGCAGAGTTGGACTTTTTCTGCTACTGTTTTCCGTCCTCCATGTGGCTCCAGTTTTTTTCTCCATCGTGATTGTCTGTTTTTGCTAAGCAGGTAGCCCATCTTTTTCTTAAGACTAGCAAGCAGTCACCTCTTTTTTTTTTTTTTTTTTTGTAATAGCTGTTTCTGGGGGATATTACAAGGTCTGTTGATTGCGATGATGATGAAAGAGAGTAACTTACTTCTGTTGAATGCTTTAAGTTCAGCTCTAACGTCTTACTCGCCAGATGTATTTGACTGCATCTTTCATCTTCATGATGTTGGATGCTGCACAGGAATGCAGGTGATTAGAAACAAAACACTGAAATCTGTAGATCTCTGCAGCTGGGAATGGAAGTCTCCCATGTCAAAAGTCAAAGAAATGTCAGTCTAAGAGCTTTTTCTTCTTGTCCCTGAATCCAGTACTTACTTCTTAGTAAGATATTTCAGATCAAATTGACCCACACTGGAGCATTTGGTGTAAGCCCGTCTCGTGCTTATTCACGTTGGGGTTTCTTTTTGTCCCAACTAAAGCTGAATTTGTTGGCATGTGGTATGACTTGCTGGACTGTGTAATCGCTGAATTATGATAGATGTCCTGTACTCTCATAGAAATTGGTATGTTTACCAGTTTACCAACTGATTCTAGGTAGTGTAGACAGGCTTTGTTTGAGTAGCAAAATATGTGTAACAGCTTATAGTAAGTTTTGCTGCCCTCATCTTTCTAGATCAATACCTATGACTTTTGGAAGCTTTCCTCCCCCACTCCCTTCAGGAGGCAAATTTTAGGAGTTTACTTATGGGAGTATATCTAGGCACTAACTGTGTTAAACTGTGATCACTTTAATGAGAAGAATCTTGGCAATGTCTTAATAAGAAGGGGAAAACTTTGGGGGATAACAGCCGTTTATCACCCTGACATTATCCTTAGGAATATCGTCGACTGCTTTTTAATATTAGTTTTATGTTCTGAAATGTTTTATGATGACAAGCAGAGACCAGCTAAGAATTTCTAGTTTTTTATTCTATTGAGTATTTTATCTGAGATCCCTTGGGGAGCTGTGAAACAGTATTATACAGTGGAAAATAGATAGTAAAAATATTTATTGAACCTTGTTCAAGGACAGCTTCTGTTTGGTTGTTGGTGAGTTGCTCCTGCATTTGCACAGTGTATATCTCCACATAATCCCTAGTCTGGGCTGCTGAGGACTTGATGGTCTTTGTCAGACAACCCCATAGAGTAACTGGCTTCTCTGCTCCCTTGTCTCCCTCCTTCTACTTTCTCCTTCCCCCAACACAATATGCCTCATCAATTACACATTGTTTGTTCTAGTGAGCATTTAATAGCTTAACAGTTGAATGCAGAAATCATGAAAGATTTGAGGGTCAGAAACATGGTCTGTTTCGAGATTATGATCATCTCATATTATCAAAATAGCATGTGTAGTACAGTTCTTAAAAAGATACATTTAGAACTGCAATCACTGGTAAAGGAAGGGCCCTCACATATCACAAATTATCAAGGATCAGGAATGTGTATGGCAGTAAACATTTTAGAATGCAAAAAATTGCTTTGAATTGATATTCAAAGGAAAGTGTATAAATAGGTACTATTTTGGGGAGCCTTATATAAGGGGATTAGAAATTAAAGAACCTATTTGTGAGACTTGTGGAATTGGTGATAATATAACAGAAGAGCATACACTGCATTTTCTTATTTTCTGCTGTGTGGTTAAAGAAAACATGTACTGGTAATGGTATATTAAATAAGGAAACAAAATCATCCTAACTAACCACAACACTGTCCTTGTGCTTAGCAGGAAATAACTAACAAATTCATTTTCTGTTTTCTATTCTAAAGAAAGCCCTCTGGGCCACAGGGTCATTGGGAACATTTTCTCCTTGGAGCAGATTTGCCCATTGCAAAATAGGGAAACTGGCACTTGGAAACTGTCGTCGTGGCCGTTATATTAAGCAACTGAGGTTGCATTGTTGCTTTGTTTAGCTAGTTTCGGGTCTGAGTGTGTGTAGGTTCTGAGAGGTGTGGTTCCCTGGGAGGTCATCTACAAAGCTTGTGGGGTTTTTTTTGGGGAGGGGCACCATATGGAGGGATAATATTGTGTTTAAAAATTGGCCTCAGGAGCATCAATGTGGGAGGTCACACTGGACCTCTTCTTATCAGTCCTCGTAAATGGCTCGTTTCCAACCTGAAATGTTGACCTGAAGTCTGTAATATAAGGTGGGGAAAGGTAGACAGGGGTCTTGCTGGAATAGCAAGACCTGCCAAAGTGGTATTTTTACATATCTAATGGGTATCATTTATCCAGAAAGAGTACCTCTGGTGATAGAGTTGAGTAAAATCTTTGCATTTCTTAGAAGATTGCATGTATAGAGGGAGGTGTTTTCTGTACCTTCTGTGGAAAGGCAAGGAAAAAGAGTTAGAAAGACCTTGCAGGGATTAGCAACTCTGTACAATGTTATAAAAGCATCCTGTTCTGCAAATAGTCCTGCATTTTAAAAGATGGTTGCATATATTTTGGTATAATTACACCCTATCTTGTTGTTTTCTTATATTCATGTTTTTAAGCAGTTTCCTTATTGAATAGATGCAGTAAATAGCATAAAAAATAAAGATCATTTCTTTCTTTGGGATTTCCTGATTAGCGGTTTTCCAGTGTATAGTGTACTTTGTTGTTAAACAAGGAAAGGTGTATTCCTGGAGAATTTTACATTCTTTAGGATAGTTTTAAATTAATGTGGCACCCAGATTCACATATTAGAGAAAGGTGGTTCACAAAATTCAGTATAGCAAAAGCGACTACATATTTTTAAAATGCTGTTTATTTAAAGAATCTTTTCTTCCCTAGCCAGCTGGAAACCCAGCTGTGCTGCAGCTTGAAGATGGGAAAGTGAAACTAGATTAGAAACTGACCAGTCCTAGTGATGAGTACTAGAGGCATGGTTGCAGATTTAAGGATTGAATTACCACCCTAAAGTCATTATTTCTTGTAGTGGCTGCTTTCCTTGGCAGACTGCAATTCTTGGGGCAGGAACAATAGCTTATCTCTGAGGTCTTCTTTCTCTGAGCTCTCCTGCCCCCCAGTGTTTCGTACTTTGCCTGGTTTATAGAAGGACTCTCCATCAGTGTCATTTGAATGGGTAAAGTCAAGTGAAGTTAAAGAAAGCCTCCAGATTAATACTAAAACAATCTTAACTCTCTGACCTGTGACATCAAGTCCTGTGCTGAAAAGCTGAGTTTGATGATAGCCTTTACCTGTCGCTATGGGAACCTTTCTTCCAAAAGAATCATTATCAACTAGAGTACTTAACCACAATGTGCTTAATCATTGTGCTGATTAGTGTTAATGGGATTTGAGCGGTGGAGAATAAAGATCTTGCTGGAAAAGACCCTCTTATTTTTTTTCTTTTGGAAAGTAGATTACTACTTGCCCACCCCCAAATTTAAACAAAAATAAAACAACCATGGTTTGAATTAACAAACAGTTTGGGAGCTAGGGATGGTGGTGTATTAACAATCAGGTGACTAACTTCCTCTCGGCCCCTAATCAAAGCAAATGTGTTTCCCCTTTACCATCCTCTTTTATCTAAGGAATTTTAATTTTATTTTCTAATATCAATTAGTTTTTTTCTTTACAAAATTATATTTATATTTTTGGAGCTGTAACACACTTATATGGCTCAAAATTCAGAAAATACATAAAAATATATGAAGAAAAGTTTCCTTCTTAACCCCCGTTCTCAGCTACCCAGGTTTAAGGCTCTGTGGTAAAATATTCAAGAATAATTTATTCTTGAAGTGTGTGTTTCTCTAAAAACACAATGTTTTTCAAAGTAGTCTTTTTTTTTTTTTAGATGGAGTCTTGCTCTGTCACCCAGGCTAGAGTGCAGTGGTACATTCTTGGCTCACTGCAACCTCTGCCTCCCTGGTTCAAGCGATTCTCCTGCCTCAGCCTCCTGAGTAGCTGGGATTACAGGCACCTGCCACTGCGCCTGGTTAATTTTTGTATTTTTAGTAGAGACAGGATTTCACCATCTTGGCCTGGTTGGCCTCCAACTCCTGATATTGTGATCTACTCACCTCGGCCTCCCAAAGTGCTGGGATTACAGGCGTGAGCCACCGCTCCCGGCCCAAAGTAGTCTTATATTTTCTTTTGACAGAGGAAGAATGTTAATTTTGCCATTAAGTCAATTTTGTGGTAAATTCTTCCCAGGTAGTACATATTTTCTTAACCTGGCCCAAGATCTTATCTACCTAGTTCTAATGATCTCTGAGTCCTCTATCTCAAGTGTCTAGTTAAAGGATCCTTTCTTCTCAATACGTTACCTCACAGATATAATTCAAGACTCAGGAATGAAAATACCAACTTATTTTTCAGATACTTTGCCATTAAGTTTTCCATGACAATACATT